CGGGGCCCGACCCCGGGCGTGGAGGGGGAGGCGGGGGGGTCTTTGCGGGGCTCTGCCGCGTTCCCAAGAACTGGGGGTTTTCTGAACGGCGCAGCTTTCTGCTCTTCATCCGGAAGAGTAGCTCCGGGTGGCCCCCAGGGAGTTGAGGTGCAAACTTTGATGTCTAGTTGGGGGGCGGCTTGGGGGGCTGTTCAGCCTCCCTGCCTGCTTGGTGGGGTTACCCAGTTAACCCATTCCAGGGTTCACACAACCCTTGAACCCTAAGCCAGAGAGGGACTAAAGCTAGCCAAGCTTTGGGCCACGCAAGGCAGCTCCCGATTTCCCCCTGACCTGGGTCTGTGGGTTGTGTGAATCCGGTGTCGGGAGGCTGGGAGATGCAGCAGTTTGAAAATCCTGCAAAATTCCCCCCTCAGTCTCTGGAAACTTTTTAGGGAGGGAATAAGATGACCTCCCCTCCCTTCTGTGCTATGACCACTTTAGGGCATGCTAAGGCTTTAAGAACAGAGCCGATTAAACATGAGCAACTGCATGTATGAAAAGTCTTGGCTGGTGAATCCAGTGCATGACGTATTGGGCGAGTAAAAAGCTGTTTTGTATGGCAGACTCCTGTTAAAGAAGAAGGGAGTCTGAAGCTTGTCTGCAGTACCTCTGATTGAGTTCCTGGGTGGAATTGAGAAGGGAGGGGCGGAGTTGCTCCTCCTTGCATAACTTTGCCTCTTTGTCTGCATCGCTCTCCTCAATGCATCATCTTCAGGATCCTGTTTCTTTTTTCCCCCCCGGGGCTCTAGGTTCAGCAGCATATGCAAATACGAGGCTGTGAAAAGGGAAGGAAAAAGGAATATTTTCGCCTGGTGTTTCGCCAAGCCTCGGGACTGGCGTTTGAGTCTGAAATCCGCAGCCCTTTCAAAGCCATCAAAACATTTTAAAAAGGGTCGCTGCGCTGGAAGGCCTAGTGGTTAGAGCCTTTCCTCTGCCTTGGGGCCTTGCTAAGATAGAGCTGGTCCCCTTTTAGTTTCTGCTAACAATTAGCTTTTCCGGGGCTGCATAGCATATGGGCGACTAAGATGGGAAGTGGCAGGCCTCCAGTTTAAACCAGCCTCACCCGTGCGAGTCACGGCTGGATGAGCCGGTTCGTAACAGCTTGCTGTGTGCAGTACAACTGCCTTGCAAGGTAGTCCGTTACGGACTTTTTTTTTAAGTCATGCGAAGTCCGAACACTCTGTGCCAGAAATGGGCTTCCAGCTGTGTAGTTCCATTCTACAGTTGAGACAAACGCCACTCCTTTGCTTTAGCACATTTATGTGCTAAAGGTGAATATTTATATAAATAGGAATACTGCATCGCCTCTCTTGGCCCGATCTTGTGTCATGCAAAGGCAAGATTTGGTGTGGGGGCCTATTCCTTCTGGTTTATTCATCAAACCATGATTAAAACAGCTGGGTGAACCTTATCTATCACGGCTCATTTGCCAAAATATGGTTGATAGAAGCCACCGCTTTGTGCCACGGGTGGGCCCCACCAGTTGTGGTTTATTTGGAAGCCGTTGATGTGAGTGTCCCAGATTTATTGATTGACAGGCAGCATGTGTGATCGTGATTAATTTTCTTCCTGAGATCCCTTGAGGTAGGCTAGGCTGAGATCCAGCAGGGTGACAAAGCCTTGCTTCAGGCTGCTGTGTTGTGCGAACCAGGCAATTTGGGCCCCACAAACCACTGTTAAAGCAAACTCTGGCTTGCAAGAGCAGATGAATGCTGGAAAATAGGAGCACTATTTCTCACCTGTGAACAAGAAGTGGTTTTTCTTTTGCTGTTAGGAAAACCTTGTTTTCCTAATTCAGAAGTGCGGATTGCAGTTCTTGAAATGTCGGCTATTCTTTTCCCTCCCAGCCATTTGGCTCCAGGTGCCTTGGATTACCACACCCATCATTCCCAGTCCAGTGAGATCCTCCTTTGCGAGGGTGGTGTTCCTACAGATGAAAGAGTTGCCCTATTCGTATCAGAGCAAAAAGGGATTTTTAGTAGACCGGGAGCCATGGGGTTTTTATCAGCAAGAAACTCTGAGTTAAGTTAGTTCCTGTGGCATGCTAAGCCATGGTTTACAAAGACAGCTAGCGAAGCCGTTGCTGGCTGCAGTCACATCCTCTGTGAAGTCCAAAATGTTGGAGGAGTTTCCCTGTTGCCTCTCTGTATGAGTCACTGCTCTGGGTTTTCTTCTGTCCTGTTTAGGATCGTGTTTTGGAAGGGAGAGAAAATAAAGAAGGCTTGGCCTGCAGAATGAAGGCGGGGAAGCCATGTCCTTCAGAGGTAGCTGGGAATGATGGGGGTTGGAGTCCAGCAGCATCAGGGCAGCTGGAATGTTGCCATTCGGGTTGCGGAAGTCCCCCTTTTAGAACAGAATTGGATTAAAACGCAAGGATTGCTCCGGAGGACGTGGGGCTGACAAAATTCCCTGCA